GTTCGGGTCTAAATAATATGTTTCGGGGCGGGTTGTGGATTTAAAATTTTAAAACCGGACGGGTTCGGGGCGGGTTACGGGTTTTACTAAAAACCTGCCCCAACTTGGACCCGAACCCGGATATTTTTTAAAATTATTATAACTAAATATATATGTACATTTATATAATAAAAATATATTATTTATTTACTTAAATAATTTTAAATATAAAATTCAATTAGTCGTACGCTCCAAATAATTTTTTAAAATTATTATACCTAATATATGTATATTTATATAATAAAAATATATTATTTATTTATTTATCTTATTTTTATGGATCAATATTTGATTGCTTTTAGATTTTTTTTTGTGCTTTTAATGCTATTTGTTTTAATATTCGATTGTTAAAAAAATATTTATTATTATATATTTTTAAAACAAACGGGTTTGCCGGGTTGGCCCCGAATCCGGAGGGTTCGGGGCGGGGCGAGTCTTGGGGCCGAGTGGAAACGGGACGAGGCGAGTCTCGGAGCCTAATATTTTCTAGCGGGACGGGTCTCGGGGCCTGCAGAACCCGTCCCGAACCCGCCCCATTGACATCCCTAAACACGGTCATTGTTCTACCATTTCCGGGAAGACATTCAAGGTTGGTGAAGCAACTGCAATGAAATATTAACTTATATAAGATTTTTAATTTTGAAATGATAAATATACATCATAAGAACTTAATATTGCATAAAATAAATCTTGTTTTTCTTTAGTAGTGCCAACATCTTTCATTACGATATTTTGTTATATTTGTTTTCTTATCTATTATATCTTTAATTAAGATAATTTTCTTCTCATCATAGACTATTTTCTTATATCTATATTTAATTTATTAAGAATCACCAACTACTTTTTTGTCATATTTTGTCTGTGGTAATCTAGAATGAATCCTAGGCAATTGTTAGGTGCATATATTAACTTAGTTGGTTTGGTGTTAGTTATTTGTTGAAGTATTTTTTTTTTTTTTAATATTTTCTCTTTTGTATATTTTATCAAAATTTTGATAGTAGTGAATCATTATATATGCTTTCAGTTTCACTTCTTTATTTTCTTAGAACTTGAATGGTACCATAATCCAGCTCAACAAATTCATCTCTTCAATGCAATGAAGATGTATGAATTTTCTGCTAAAGAAGCATGTAGCCATTGGTTTCTAACTTTTCCTCTTAAATTGTGAATATATTTGTGTCTTTCTTACTTCTAAATTCGAATCCAAGTTTGTTTGTTTACTGATTGTTTGGGATTTCAATTATGAGTTTGAGAGCAATCAATTCTACCCGACAATCAAGACAACCAAGTAGCCCGCTTTGTTTTTTGCGAACACTAAATAATATATTTGTAACAGAATTTCGTCGCTAAAGTTCACGTAGCTAACGTAATTTCATTCATAATTTCGTCTTTAATGTCATTAGTAACGGAAAAAATAGATATAGAGACAAAAAAAATTTGTTACAAAGATTATTTTTTCTTATAGTGGAACGGAGAGTATTTTTACAAGCTCTAGGTAACTTTTTTTATTTCTTTTTTAATAACAAGCTCTAAAAGTTACGTGGTTAAGTACTTTGTATTTCATTTTAAATTTTTTATTCAAGTCTGATACTTTTTTCATAAAAATTTTATTGGGTGAAATCAACATGTTAGCAAAATACAATATTATACTGTATAGAAGTGTGCTCTGTATTTATGTATTATATTGTGTTATATGAAGATACTTATTGTACTGCAAATCAATAATTGTGTTGTATATTGTATTATATCGAGCTTTTTAAGTATGTAATGTATATGTATTTTATTTATGTATTGTCTATCTTAGATATATATATATATACACTAGTACTCTAATACTCTTTATGTATTGTATTATTCTAAGTCTCAATATAAAACAAACATATATAACATCAGGCAAAATGATAAGATTAGAGCAAAAACATTATGACTGACAGTAGATGTGCCTATTAGACTTGCCCAACGGTTCAAACCACCGATTACGGTTAGTTAAAATATCAAACCGAAATCGAATTTTTCGAATGACAGTTTCGATTACAGTTTGATGATTTCAATTATGGTTTAAAAACCACCGATTACGATTTAAACGATCGATTTATATATATATATATTCACTTTTAATATATTTTTTTATTTTCTATTTTTTTTATTTGAATTATATTCAAAGATAATTAATTTTAATTTTAATTTTATTTAGAAATATTTGTTATTTGTTTATTATATAAAAATAAGTAATTAATTAAAATGTTACAATATAAAAATAATTAAATTAATAAATTTAGTAAGTAATTCAATTAATTTTAAAATTAAAAATTTAATAAAAATAAATTATGAAAATATTGGTGTATTAGATAAGATAGTTTAAATTATATATGATTATATAATAAAAAATTATAAAATTGAAAATATAAATTAAAATTAAAATTATAATATTATTATTTTTCAATATCATCAATAATTATTTATTTTTATTAATATTAATATTATTTTTATTTTTAAGAAAAATTGATAATATATAATTGAGAAAATTGCAAAAAATATAGCAGGTCCAATTATTATTTTCGAACACTTTTTTTCCACTTTCAAAATTTAGACATTATGTGTACTCCAGGCATTTTTTTTACCCTCCGATGCCCTAAAAACGCACCTGACCGTCACGTGCACCTTCGTGGCATGGCCGGTGCATACGTGGACACCACAATCGTTGCGGTATTGTCGTCCGCGTGGTCGTTGGACAAGTGACGTGGAAATTATCTTTTTTTTTTTTTTACTTTCGCAATTTAGAACATTATGTGTACTTCGTGTATTATTTTTGCCCTTTGATGCCGGAAAAATAATTTGTTCTAAGTTTTTTATTTCAATTTGGTCAAATTGGTTATTTGCAATTTTGTCCAATTGGGCCAAATTAAAATTTTTAAAAAATATACAATTTTTTTTAAAAAAAATTGATACCACCTCATCTATCCGACGATCTTAGAACAATTTATTTTTTCGGAACTAGAGGGCAAAAATATACTTAGAGTACACTTAATATCCTAAATTGCGAAAGTAATAAAAAAATAATTCTATGTCACATGTTTGATGACCACGCGGACGACAACACAGCAACGACAGCGTCCACATATGCGCCGGCCATGCTACATAAGGGCACGTGACGGTCACTTGCGTTCTTTCGGCGCCGGAGGGCAAAAATAATATGTGGAATACACATAATGTCCTAAATGGTGAAAATGAAAAAAAAATGTTCAAAAATAATAATTGGACAACATACAGAATATTATTTGCAATTTTCCCTATATAAAAAAATAATTATAAATATATTATTATTATTATTATAAAATATACAATTTTACTCTAATTAACTTATTTACACAATTACACATCGCAGTGGCCAGAGATCCACCACATTCTCCTCTTTCTTATTCTTCTTTCCATTTTTTTATTTTCTTTCTCACGGGCCATCATGCTTCTTCTTTCCTCCTCCTTTTCCTTCGCGAATGACGGTCCAGTGATCATCCAACATTATTTCTTTCCACCAGATCACAATTTTTATGAAAGAGATGTTCAATGCCTGATTCTTGAGTTATTATTAATAATTATTTATTTTTTAATATTAATATTATTTCTATTTTTAAGAAAAATTGATAATATATAAAAAAAATTAATTATAAATATATTATTATTATTTATTATAAAATACATAATTTTTTCTAATCAATTCATTTACACAATTACACATACTAGGCCACAGACCCACGAGGTTCTCCTTTTTATTCTTCTTTCCAAATTTTTTCTTCTTCTCAGTGAGTCATCATGCTTCTTCTTCTTTAAATTATCAGTAAAACTGACAAGACAATTGACAAATTTAAACATACTTCCCATAATATTACTATTTCGCATAGTTGGACAAAAGAACAATACCTACTTGCACCTATAAAAAATAAAAATAAATAGGGTAATTTATGTAGTCATCCGTATACATTATCATATATTAGTGTTCTTAGATATGATAACGCGATTTGACCCAATGAACATGGAAATAGAAAAACTCTTTTAAATATGTTAATCTTTAATAAAATATCAAATCAAGATAATATTTTTTTCTTCTGTTTTACTTGTTCGAACTCTTCGTTTTAATTTGCCAATGCTAATTACTTCATCTTCTTCCCATGTTCTATAGTTTACATGGTGGTTGGAAAATCATAAAACCCTTGTACTTTTATAGTTTTATATTCCAACTAACAAAGAAAATGTTAATCCATTTGATTCTATGCTGTTAACAAAATAAACAAATAAATAATTCAGAGGTACCCAACTCGCAAGAATCCCTGGTATTGCCACGTGTGACAAGTCTTGGCAGACAAACTTTTATCAGGATTTGACCCATTTGGAGAAACTTTCAACAGTGGCGATCATAACCTTTATGCCAATTTGCAGAAAGCAGAATTAGATGCCCAATTCGTGCAAACGCATTCATCCATCATCCACTGCTCTCCACGTTCATAAAAAAAAATTATATATATAGGCAAAATTACATGTAATTCACTTATGATTTGAAATTACTAATCATATTTTTTTTCGTATTTTAAAAAATTCTGAATATAATTCTTTAAAATTTGAATGAGACTTGTTTATATTTTTTAAAATAGAAAATTGTGTAATATTTTTTAAAGTAAAAGTAAATCTCAATCAATTTTTAAATTATTGAAAAAACGATGCATATTTTTCAGACTAAATATACACAAATCGAATCATACATTAACATATATGGTGCTCACTGTGCTAATTGACTCACGTGTTTTAAAATATATCTGCAAATTAAATAAAATTAGAGCCCATCATGCATCATGGCCCTCAAGAAAACCAAAAAGCTCTATCAACGGTTCTTATCGAAACCCTCATTGTTTATAAATTTCAGATTTGTATTGTGGGGAAAGAATAATGTGTACTTGATAAGATACTACTGTTCTTTCTGTGTCCCCCACCTCTCCTTCTTTTTCTTGTTCATGTTTTTGTATTAATAATGCAGCAGCACAGCAGATGTCTTAATTATTCTTCCATGATTGTTTTTTGTTGATTTCATGTAATTATTACTAACGCAACGAATTGCTGTTGTTGTCGTCGTCGTTATTACAAGCTAATTAATTAATTAATAAAGTGCACCAAATGACGATGAAGAGGTTTGTCTCATGGTACCCTGTAATGGTTCTCATGACTATCGATCTTGCCTTTGCCATTGCCAATATACTTCTCAAGAAAATCGTGAGCAATGGGACCGATCATTTGGTGTTCATCACTTTTCGACAGGCGATTTCCGCGATTTTTTTGTCGCCTTTGGCCTACTTCTTGGAAAGGTTCGATTTTTTTTTATTTGATAATGATGGTTGGATTGTGTAATTAATGATGCATGTACTGCGAGTTTAAACTTTTAGGTGAGACAATCGTTTAAGAATAATGATTAGTACCAAATGAATGAATCAGTGATACGATATTGTTTTGTTTCTTAACGTAGCAATGGAAGACTTCTTCTTATTAGTTAAGTTGGTGTTGTGGTGGCAGGGGAAAGAGGCCGAAGCTCACCGGAACCATATTGTGGCAGCTCTTCGTGAGCGCGATCATCGGGTAAGTTTTTGAATTGCTTATTACTCGACTACTTACAAAACAATATAACCATATATTGGATCATCAATCGTCTCTTCTGATTTTTTTATAAGTATTATAGAGAATGATATTTTCTATCGGTCATTTTTTAAATGCATTGCTTTTGTAGGGCTTCAGTGACGCAATATCTCTTCCTTCTCGGCATCGAATACACTTCCGCGACGTTCTCTTGCGCCTTCCTCAACATGGTCCCCGTCGTCACATTTTTCATGGCCTTGCCATTCCGGTGCGTACGATCTTATATACCATTTCTTTCTTGTCTTCATAATCGCTTCCTTCCCTAATCGATCTCAACCAAGGACTTACTATTCGTTGTTGCCACAGTTTGGAGAGCGTAGACATAAATCATAGCGGCGGAATTGCCAAAGTTGTTGGCGCGGTGATTTGTCTCGGAGGCGCCATCTTGCTCACGGCGTATAAAGGGATTCCTTTGTTCCACTTCTCGCAAGATGATCAAGTTACCCGATCAACGGGACAACATTATACAGAGATAAGTCCTAGTATTGTAAGGTTAAGATGGGCGATCGGTTCGTTGGCCCTTTTTGCGGCCACAATATGTTGGTCATCGTGGTTCATTCTTCAATCCTATATCGGGAAGAAGTATCCGTGCCAATACTCGAGCACGGCTATCATGACGTTCTTCAGCGCCATACAATCGGCAATCATAGGCCTCTCATTCCAAAGGGACCTCTCAGTATGGATTTTCAAGAACAAAACAGATATCTACATTGCCCTTTACGCCGTAAGTTCTAATCACAAAACCAAAATGCATTCAACACGACGCACCCATTATGCGCTTTTTTGTGTCTTTTTTGTTTTTTTAATAAAATGGGGCCGAGCTCAATAGCTTGCAAATCAGGTCAACCAAATAAGTCATACTTTAACTAAAAAGGAATCCGCAGGATTTAACTAATAACTTCACAGTCATCACTCGCCCCCTCCCTACAAAACACATCGATCCCTTTTTGATCGACATTGTTTTTATGCAGGGGATGATCGGGTCGGGGCTGTGCTTCGTGGGGATGACATGGTGCGTCAAGAAGAAGGGGCCGGTGTTCACGGCGGCTTTCAGCCCGCTCGTGCAGATAATGTCGGCGGCGTTCGAAGTCCCGGTCCTCCACGAGCAACTTCATCTTGGAAGGTGATACACCGAAACAAATCAAATAAAATCAAATGCATGATTTTGGTTGATTGTTTTAGCAAATTATAAGGCGAGCTGATGTTGTCCTGTAATGAAACGTGGTGCAGCTTGATGGGATCAGTTGCCATAGTTGTGGGACTGTATATTCTGCTCTGGGGAAAAGACAAAGAGATAAAGCAGCAGCAGAAGAAGAATAATGGATTAGAATTAGTGTCGTCACCTCATAATCAAACTGAAGTCGACCAAAAAGATTCCAACACAGACTTCCAACCAACCAAACTACAAGTTTAATTCATTATCATCATACATATTATGTCAAGTTATTTTAATGGAGAAGATATTATTTATATATATATATATATTCTGTTATCCAAATTAAAGTATTTTTTATCTTGTAAAATATCATATTAAATATTGAATTTTTTATTTTTTTTCTTCAAAATTTTAAAATTTTCTATAGAAACAGACTTAAAATGCTAAAATGATTGCGATGCTGAATGAGTGAATAAAATAATTGGGGAACACTTGCCATTAGAGAAAAAGATAGATCGAATTTAATCAATGAGGTATCCATGATTCATGTGTTCATATGGCCACTAGTTTGAAAGTAAATAATTAATAAGTTTTATGGGTGTGTTAGTTTTGTGAAATATTTTGAAGAAAAATATTGTATTTAAAGTATAAAAAATTGTATAGATAATGTGAATGAAAATTCCCTTAAGTTATTTTAGCATATGAACTAATAGTGTCTTAATTTCTGCAGCAAGGATTTTCCAAAAGACAAAAGATATATTTGAGGAAAGATCAAAATATGGAAACTCACTCCTTCCATTACGGTGCAAAGGAAAATTAGTGTGGAATCTTTTATTCCAGGAATGTGAGTGATTTACTCAACCGAATAGGGTTGAAAATTGATAATGTGTGTTTGGAGATCATATACTTTAGAGAGAAGAATATTGAGTGAAGCTCTCATCCATCTATCCACATCGATTCTCCTTAGTTTTGAATGAGTTTTTGATAGAAATATTTGCCGGAGAGGTCGAAGGTGTTCGGAATTAATGGAGTTCCAACCGGAGGGAATTATCAAGCTCTGAAATTCTCTGCTGTGTGGTCGTTGTTAGTACAAGGTTGTAGCAACGAGAACCTTATGAGGTATTTTCCTGGGTTAGCCATGACTAGCATTAGAGTTAAATGAGTTGTGGTTGTTTGTGTCCTTAATCAGCACTGGTTAGTGGAATTCCCCCAGGATTGGTATCCCCCGGATGTAGATTAGTTGATAATTGAACCGGGTCAACAAACACCTTGTCTTATTGTTGTTTTATGTTCTGCATTGTTTTTCGTTGTTGAAACGTAGTTATAACTGTGAACCGCCCACGCTTTGGGAGTTGGCCCTTTAAAGTGTTCGAATGTGTTTTGTTCGATAAATCACTTCCCCAACATCTGGTATCAGAGTAGTGTTCTCTAATTCGTTGAGTAGATCTGGTCACAGTTGCAGACATGAGTAAGGAAAGACGTTCAACATCAAGACCTTCATTGTTCGATGGGACAAATTACCAAAGTTAGAAGAATAAAATGGAAGCATTTCTGATGCTTCAAGGTGAAGACATTTCTGATGTTGTTGAGTGTGCATGGTCTCATCCTATGAAACCCATTCAAGATGAAGATGGTGTTACTACTCTTGTAAAGAAACCGAAGAGAGAATGGACGTTGAATGAAAAGCTGCTGCAATAGCAAACTCGAAGGCCCTATTTTCGATTTTTAATGATGTGGATGAAACTCAAGCAAAGGCTTATATCAAACTGCAAAATTGCAAAGGAAGTTTGGGACATTCTAGAAAATGCATTCGAAGGTTCAGCGCAAGTCCAAGAATCTAAACTAGATCATGTGGAGACATTGTTCGAAGGAATGAAGATGAATGAGGACGAAACAATCGTTGTTTACTATAATCGCTTTATGGATGTTGTCAATCAAGTTGAAGAAAAGAGGCTGGTGAGGAATATGCTTAAAAGTCTCACAAAAAATTTCAGGCCAAAGGTGATATGCTCAATGAACCACCAAAGCTGAAAAATATGACATTGGATGAATTATATGGTACATTGGTGAGCTATGAAATGAATTATCTTGAAGATGAAACTCCAAAAAGCATGGCCTTAAGTGTGGAGGACATAGAGCTGATCAAATTTGATGAGGAAATGGCATTTCTGAGTCGAAAACTTTCAAGGATGATTAGTGAGAAACGTGCAGCAAAGATGAAATATGGGAAGCTTCAGAACCGTGGTGGTTATCAAGGTGTGAGTACTTCTAGCTCACAACGGAAATATTCTGAACAGAAACCATCAAATTACAGCAAACCAAAAGAGAAGTTTGATGGTGGATTCAAGAAGAAGTTCACTGTGTCCCCTAAACCTGAATCTTTCAAAGAGCCAACATACTATGGATGTGGAGGAATCGGTCACATCAAGTCTGAATGTCCGACATGAAGAAAAGGGAGAAAAGAGCATATCAAGCAACATGGAGTGACAATGATGAAGAGGAAACTGTCTGTGTCGAGGAACAAGCTGAAGATGATGAAGTTGTTGCTTTCATGGCCGATGAATCTGAATCTATTAAAGATGATGGTGTTTCTACTGATAAAGCTTCAGAGGAATCCATAGAACTTGATGCTGATGAGTTGATTGAAGCCTATGAGGAGATGGCGTTAGAGCAAAAGAAATTTATGGTGAAGAACAAAGAGCTACTTGATACCATCTATCGATTGGAAGCCCAGAATGATAAATTAGAAGATGAGATCGAAGTTCTGAAGAAGGATGTTGTTGTTAAATCAACTGAATCAGATGCTTTGAGAAATGAAAATTTGAGGCTAAAAGATGAGAATGATTGTCTTCGGAAAGGAAAAGAAAAGTTGGATGAAATACTATCAATTGGGAAACCTTTTGGTAATCATAAAGGAGTTGGATTTTGTGAATCTTCACACAGCAAACTCACTGCATCTGTGCGGGGTGGTTTGTTAACAGATGTCAAACTTCCACTTCCAGGGAAGAAACCAGCACCTGCTCAGACTCGGGAACCAGAAAGAAACAAGAAAAAGAATGAGACTGGAAAGTTCATAAAAAATTAGGTTATTGGAAAACAGTCATCTCGACCTACTGACTGCAACTACTGCAGACTTCCTGGACATGTTGAGAGATGTTACAAGTTAATCAAGGATGTAATGAGAAGGAGAAACATTCGATGGCCTACAGAAGGATTGAAGCAGAACATCAAAGTCAGACTGGTATGGATTCCTAAGAAGGATCATAAGCAAATGGAATGTAATGTGATTCTGTCGAGCCAAGAATCTACACAAGCTGATTGATGGTACTCTGATAGTGGATGCTCTCGACACATGACGAACCAAAAAGGGTTGCTGAAAAACTTTGTTGAAGACAGAAGCGGTGATGTTATCTTTGGTGATGGTGCAAGAGGGAAAATCAGTGGATATGGCATTCTTGAGAAAGAAGGAATTCCAAGACTTTCAAAGGTATACTTTGTTGAAGGATTGAGTACGAATTTGATAAGTATAAGCCAACTCTGTGATGGTAACTTGCATGTAAAGTTTACAAAGGACTCCTGTGAAGTGTATAATGCTGAGCAGAAACGAGTCATGACTGGTGTACGATCAAAGAATAACTGCTACCTGCTGGAATGCCCGAAGATGGAAGCACTGATCTTGAAGGATGATGAAACCATGTTATGGCACACCAGGTTGGGTCATGTTAATCCACAGAATTTGTTGAGGATCAGTAAACTAAGAGCTATCAGAGGATTACCCAAATTTTCGAAAATGCCCAGCACCACCTGTGGTGACTGTGGTCGAGGAAAGCAGAAGAGAGTTGTTTATCCGTCGTTAGAACAACGTTCAAGAAACCAGTGTTTGGAGTTACTACACATGGATCTCATGGGTCCAGTCGACGTATGTAGCCTTGGGGGTAAAAAATACATTCTTGTCTATGTTGATGATTTTTCCAGATATACATGGGTGGATTTCTTGCGTGAAAAGAGTGGAGCCTTCAATGCATTTGAGAAATTGAGTACAAGGCTCATGAATGAAAAGAAATCAAAGACCAATAGGTTAAAGATTGATCATGGGAAGGAATTTGAAAATAAGAGATTTGTTACTTTCTGTGATGGGCTTGGATCAAACATGAATATTCTGCTCCAAAGACACCTCAACAGAACGGAGTAGTTGAGAGGAAGAATCGTACTCTACAGGAGATGGCAAGGTCGATCATGCATGCCAAAGGGGTTGCCAAGTCTCTGTGGGCAGAAGCTGTGAACACAGCTTGCTATGTCGTCAATCGAGTGTATCTCAGACCACACACAGAGAAGACACTATATGAAATATGGAATGGTAAAAGGCCAAATGTTTCATACTTTCACAGTTTTGGGTGCAAGTGCTACATTATGAAGGATCGAGATCATCTTCATAAATTTGATACTCGTTCAGATGATGGAATTTTTCTTGGATACTCATAGAACTCAAGGGCTTACAGAGTTTACAACAATCGAACCAATGAAAGTGATGGAATCCGTGAATGTGATATTCGATGATGCTATTTCAGAAAAGAAATCTATACATCCAAGTGATGATGATGATGATGGCATCCCTACCAAAGTGATTCAGAATTCTTCAAATGTGCAGAATATTCCTCAAATTCAGAATGAACCATATCAGACTGGTGACAGTGATGTTGCTGAAAGTTCAGTTAGATTCGACTGGTCAGAACCAGAGTGTTCAACAGATGTTACTGCAACCAACCGACAACATGCAGAGATTGATTATGATGCAGAAGTGAGAAAATATGGTTCTAGAATACCACAAAACCATCCTGCAGATGCTATCATCGGTGATCCAAAAGGTGGACGCGTCACTAGAGGTAAACAGATTAACTTCAAAGATTTATTTGGTTTGAACTACTTTGTTTCTACAGTGGAACCAAAAACAGTTGATAAGGCCCTTTCGGATGAATATTGGATCAATGCCATGCATGATGAATTGAACCAATTTGAAAGAAACCAAGTTTGGTATCTGGTGAAGAGACCTGCAGATATGAACGTGATTGGAACCAAGTGGATCTTCAAGAACAAGTAAGATGAAAAGGGATATATCACCAGAAATAAGGCGAGATTGGTAACGCAGGGATACACACAAATAGAAGGTGTTGACTACGACGAGACATTCGCCCCAGTTGCTCGTATAGAGGCTGTAAGATTGTTGGTGTCTGTTGCATGCTCTTTAGGATTCACTCTATTTCAAATGGATGTGAAAACAACATTCCTCAATGGATGGATCAAGGAGGAGATTTATGTCGAACAACCAAAGGGAT